CAACTACTACTACTTCTTCTTCTACCCCTACCACATGTCGCACTAGCCAGTGCAACATCGCAGCAGAGAAGTAGAGCTTTTTGGTCATGATGCTGAGATTAACATGAAGTCGCACCAAGCAAGAGTCACTGCTAAATCTGTTTCTTCAGACCGAGGAATTATCCGTTCGTGTGCTCCGCGCCAGAGGTCCTGGAAGCCTGTTGGTTTCGTCAACTTGGATGCGACAGATTGTTTCAAGTGCTCACAGTAATTTACCGAAGCAGAGCTTTTCATGATTGCGTTTCATGCCGGTACTGATGACTTTTGGCCATTTCCTATTCTGACAGAGTCTTGAATCATGAGTGCATATCCTAGCATGTACCCCGGAGGCTCTATCACGGCCGAAGCCAATGACAATCACAAGAAGCCCAAACCCTGGTCAAGGTTGATGGCGGGGTGAGAAAGCAAGCCCTGCCAATGGCTCAAAGCGCAATCGCTGATCAGATAACCACGCTGAGAAACGGTTAAGATGTCAACGGCACTGTGAGAGCAAGTGAGCGTGAACAGAAAGCAAGGTGGAGATGGGGTTGTTTTCGGATATGCAGTGCGATGGACAGCTAGGCAGACTAGACAGACAGGCAGGCGCAATGAGACAAAGAGAGCGAGAGGGAGAATACACAAGCTCAGGAAACCGGCGAAGAGACACCACATCAGTAAGTTTCACGATGATACAAGTAGCCAGCCAGATTCGTGAACAGATAACACGGAAAGGTCGATAGCCAGCAAGACAGATACAGCAGAGATCACAAGAATCTACACAAACCGCAACACCCTCCAAACTCTGAAGGCCTGGATGCAACTGATTGCTGCCGGGCCCCGAAAAAAACACCTTCTAGCGTGGCACTACGAGAAAAACAGGTACATGGGTGATGGTAGTTGAGAGTGGGGCTGTAGGGTTTGGGGCTCTGAAGCTCACGCTCGCCCCCCCCCGATGCTCCGTCAACATGGCCTTCCGCAATGGCCCTGTGCGCAGCCAGAGCCAGGCAGACCTGATTTTGGGCCGTTTCTCTACTGGGGTTTAGGTTTTTACTAGGTTGTAGGGCACAGTGTAGGGTTTAGGGTTTAGGGTTCAGGCCGTTTCTCTACTGGGGTTTAGGGTTTTACTGGGGTGTGGAAGTTCCTCAATCTTATTGATCTCTCATGATTAACTCCCGTGGGCCGTGCAAGTCATGAAGCTTGGCTTGTTCTTGCCTTTGTTTTTGTGGTCTTTGCCATTTTTGCTGCGGATTTGGCAGCGGGTTGAGATGATCTGACCCAGAGTCTGGACGGTAGGTTCAGCATGTCGGCACGGCATGCGGCATGAACCATTCTTAACCCGGCCTCCACAAACGTGCACGAGTTGCAGTAGCTAATCCTTATACTACTCCTTCATAGCAACCCTTAGGGTAACCCTTATAGTGCTAAACTTGAAGGATGCGTTTGCAGAGGGATTCATGCAACGGTACACCACAGCAGGGAGTGTAAGTACTTGTAGCATTGTAGCCTGAGATCAAACAAGATCAATATGAAGGTTCAGGTACCCAGTGCCAGATGCCTCTCCATGGCAACTCTCTTCCGGAATTTTTGCGAAAGCATCTCCGCTGGCAAGATCGCGGCGCGCCAGAGCTCTGCACAGTTGCGTCGCCTAGAGGCTGCCAAGCTTATAGTCGAAGGCTTCAGGGTTTTGTCCACAGGTCTTGACGGAAACCACGCCGATTTTGCTGCTTGTGTAGCGAACTACTGCTCGGTAGGGTCTCTGTCTCGGAACTTGGGCTCTCATCATCCCTGACAATGACAAATCGTTACGTTGCCTAAGCCCCGTCAGTTGATTTGAGTAGTACTTGCAATGCACTAGGGTTAGCAGGATGAGATGCACAGGCCATTCTACAGACTGTGTTCGACTAACTAGCGTTCCGTTACTAGTTCCAACCGATCTTTCAAGACGGTCCTGCAGTGAGCATGTGTCGACGGGATACCATCATGTGATAGCCTAGTGTTGGAACTCGGTATTTCACAAAACCAAGAGGAACCGAAAAGTCGTTCCATCACGCCATCCCTCATTGATTCATTTGTCTATCTAACTAAACATCGCTTTGTCGACTAGCCGACTGTCCGTCTTCCCTCTGCAATATATGTAGATTTGTAGAGATATGTACATGTATACTGTATATATACACACACACACATATATATATATATATATGTATGTATGTATAGTATAGGTACATAGGCACACACACACAGTAGTAACCGCGTCATATATAGATGCAGAAAAATATGAGATGTACAATATAGTATAGTGTTATGCCAGGGTGTAATATGTAGTATAGTATAACAATATAAACGAATAGAACAGTACAATGTTAACTCTTGATTAATAAACCCCCCCCCCCCCCGCAAGGCAAGGTAGGTCGGCTGGTGGCCTAAAAACGTCCCCCCAAATAATTTTCGCGCGCTTT